GAAGATATTCAGTAATGGGCTTGCCACTTACAAACTGAGGTCTGATGCCATCATCCCTCCCTCTGTTTTCAACCCTGTTGTCTAGCCGGGCTCCAGGAGCATCCATGTCTGGGTCATCTGTCTCTCCCAGCTCCTAGGATGTTTGCAAATAGGTACAGGACAAAGAGTGGAAAGTGAAATTGTAACTCTTGTGAGAGAGGCAGGATTTCATGAAATCAAAGCAAGCGATGTTGGAGAACTGCTTAAATGACATGTCAAGGCAGTAACAGATGAGGATCTGGCAACGTGAGACCCGATGAAGAGAAGGGGGAGAAATGAATTAAAAAATCAATTCTTTGAAAATCAAAGAATTAAGCCCTTGAGAGATCAATAAGTTATGTTTGTAAAAATGTCCTCTTTGGGGACGCCTGGGTGGCTCAGTCGGTTAAGCGTCTGCCTTCGGCTCAGGTCATGATCCCAGGGTCCTGGGATCGAGTCCCGCATCGGGCTCCCTGCTCCGCGGGGAGCCTGCTTCTCCCTCTGCCTCTGTCTCTCTCTCTGTCTCTCATGAATAAATAAATAAAATCTTAAAAAAAAAAAAATGTCCTCTTTGGGATAGCACTGTGATAACCAAATACTAACCGGAAAGATTCATCATACTCTAAGACAGTCCACGTGAGACTTTAATTCTTTGTTCTAAGACTTAGCACAGGATTGCAGTTATGACCTCATTTTCATTTTGTTCAATATTTACTCTTGCTTTTAAAATACATTTGATTTTGGGGGCGCCCGGGTGGCTCAGTCGTTAAGCGTCTCCTTCGGCTCAGGTCATGATCCCAGGGTCCTGGGATCGAGCCCTGCATCGGGCTCCCTGCTCAGCGGGAGGCCTGCTTCTCCCTCTCCCTCTCCCCCTGCTTGTGTTCCCTCTCTCGCTGTCTCTCTGTCAGATAAATAAATAAAATCTTAAAAAAAAAATACATTTGATTTTGGGGGGTTTTTTATTTGGATTAAGTTCTAAACCAAACTGTGTTTTGTTTTCTTCTTTTTTTTTTTTTTTAAAGATTTTATTTATTTTTTAGAGAGCGAGTGAGAGAGAAACAGCATGAGAGGGGAGAGGGTCAAGCAGGCTCCCCGCTGAGCCGGGAGCCCGATGTGGGACTCGATCCCAGGACCCTGGGATCATGACCTGAGCCGAAGGCAGACGCTTAACCATCTGAGCCACCCAGGCGCCCTGTGTTTTTTTTTTCTTAACTGTGAACTTTCCCGTGTGGCTTCACCGCAGGTCCCTTTTTTGGATGCTAATTCTCCAGGGTCACAGAGATCTCCTCTGGGAGGAGATTCTGCTAGATAGAAGGTGGGGACCAGCTCACAAAGGGCCCTGAATGCTGAGCCTCTGCTGGGAGCCAGAAATCTTGTCCTGATAAAAAACCTCCGGGCTCTTACAAACAGAACTCCCTTCTGTCTAAGGCCGACTTTGTTCCTGCAGTTAGAAAATGCTACCGACCAACTTCACCTCCTTTAGAAATGACAAAACCCTCTTTAATCTCCTTGCTTTTCCTTTTATTGGTGAAGCACAGATTCAGCAATGGGAGACTGTGTTTTGGGTGCTGAGGTTCTATTTTAGGCCCTGTGCCATTGCGTACCCATATAGAGGGCTATTTTAATTCCTTTCAGTCATGTGGAAAATAATCACTTAAATGATGCTCTTTCTAGCACTTTACCTTTGAGAGGTGACCTCAGCTGATGACAGTGCATGCATCCGCAGTAATCCGCGGGCCAAATGCTGGGATCAAAGCTACGTCTGGGCTCCCCGAGAGCCTGAAGACGGTGGGGTCTTCTGAAGTGAAAGGTCAAGTGACTTTGGCGCTTCTTTGATCCAGCAGGAAGACTGGCTCGTATTTCTGGAGGGTTTTCTTGTTTTCAACATGTTTTCAAGCAGGCAGTTAGGTCAGACTATCATCAACCTAGATCTTGACACCCCCCCCCCAAGGCTGATATTTTGAAGGTGCTCATCTAGGTCAGGTCACATGTTGTGTATTTTATTGCCTTGTTTCTTGGCCAGTACAATTTTTTAGAAGATATGCTGCCAGATATATAAGCCACTTACCTTCCAGCTGAGCCCCTGATTCAGCTGCCTTCCCCCCACCCCCACCCCCACCGTGTCCTTTCTCCAGCGAATCGGGTAGCAGGATTATCTGGTTCTCTAATTCCCTGCCTACAGGACCAGCCTGGCTAAGCTGAGTTTCCTTGCCCACAGAGCTGCCCCAGGTGGTAGAAGCAAAGGAGAGGGGCTCGGGGTTGGCTGGTTCTTAAGTAAGAATCCCTAGGGGGTACCAGTTGCTAGCACTTTGGCACCAAGTGGGACCAAGGGATCCTCTTATCAGTACCTCTCCCAGATTATGCATTTCCAGTTTATGCACATGTATGGTTGCAGAATGGAAATCCTTATCTTCTTAGAGTGCTGGACTTTGACCTTTGAGGATTGAAGTTTATGTCAAACTGACATAACCTTTGGGTAGTCACACAGGGCAGGAACCCTCCCTGGTCTTTGTTATTCTAGTAGGTGGCCTGGCCTTTTAGCTTGTGTAGAGGGAGAAGGATTTGTAGGCTAATAGCCTTCACATTTGTAGTTCTTCGCTGATCATGCGAAACAATTAAGGTTTGGTTGCTTGCTCACGTGGGCCATTTTAACTAACATAGAGTCCAGGACTAGCCAGTAGAACTCTTTGTGATGATGAAAATGAGCTCTATGTCCACTGCCCAGTCTGGTAGCCACTAGCTACCTGTGGCTCTTGACCATGTGAAATGTGGCTAGTGCAGCTGAGGAACTGAATTTTACATTTTATTTAATTTCAATCAATTTAAACAGTCACATGTGGCTAGCAGCTACTGTATTGGACAATGGGGATAGACCATTTCTATTTGAGGATTTTATATTATATTTTGTAATTAAGTATAGAAAACCTTATACACGCACATAGTAGCAATTCAAAAGATACAAAAGGATATCAAGTGACAAGTCTCCCTCATCTCCTTCTCTGGTCCCCCTGTTTCCCTTCCCAGTGGCAGCCCTGATAACCAGTTTCTTGTGGTTATCTTATGGTCCGGAAACATTTCATACATATATAAACATATTTCTTTCTCTTTCTCCATTCCTCCCCTCTTTCTCTCCTCTCTTCCTTTAATGCAAGAGGTGTTATTCTATCCACTCTCTACTGTTCCTGGGGTTTTGTTTGTTTGTTTTAGAGGCAGGGAGGGGTAGAGGGAGAGAATCTTAAGCAGTCCCCACACCAGCACCGAGCTCAGAACCAGCAGTGGAGCTCACGACCTTGAGATCATGACCTGAGCCGAAATCAAGAGTTGGACGCTCAACCGACTGAGCCACGCAGGTGGCCCCGTTCCTTGGTTTTTTGAGTTAACAACAATCCTTGGAGGTCATTATTTTATGGCTTACATTTAATTTTATTTGTATTTAATGGCTGTACATAATAGTCCTTTATAAAGTTATACCATCATTTACTTAACAGGCCCCCTTAAAAGTGAGCGTATGAGTTAATTCCAGTCTTTTGCCATGATAAATACTACTGTAACAAATAACTTGCGCAAGCATGATTTCACGTTAGGTATAAACACAAACTCTGAGAAGTGAGACGGTCAAGTCGAAGGAATGTATGGTTTACATTGCCTCAGATTGTTACCAGATTGCCATCCATAGATAGAACTTGTTGATGGGACTGGAAGTTGGTGCCTGTTCCAGCCTCAGCGACAGTCTGTTAGTGAACTTTTTGTTCTTTGCCAGTGGGATAAATGAAGATTGCCATTACCTTGTAGGTTTAATCTGCATTTCTCTTATTATAAATGAGATTGAGGGTCTTTTTATATGTTCAAGAGTCATTTCCTTTCTGGTAAATCGGCTACTCAGATCATTTGCCCATTTTTCTATTGGATTTCGTTGTTGTTTTAATTGATTTGTAGGAACCTTTTATACATTCAGGAAATTAGTCTCTTGCCTCTGATTTATATTGACAAATCTTAATCTTGTTCGTGGTCTCTCTTTCCCTGTGGACATTTGAAAATATTTTATGCGGTGAATGTATTCATCTTTTTGTTATGGCCTCTGCGTCTTGTATCTGACTTAGACTTTCCCCGTGGAGGTATTTTCAAACAGGTCTCGTGTTTTCTTCTAGAACCTCCATGGTCCCATGGTTCCTCACTGACTCCTCTGAAATAGTTCAGGGGTTTTGTGGATTTTACCTTCCCTTGCCTGGCCCCTCATTCTCCCGCCGTGATGCCTTTGCCAGGGCTTTCTGTCCAGCCCTGGTTTTGAGCTGTGGGGTGCCCTCTCACTGGCCACTCGGGGAGAAACATGATCCTCATTTGTCCACTGGTTGCCACCTTCTTCTCATTCCTTTCTCTCTCTTTTTTTTTAATTTAAAAAAATTTTTTTAAGTAATCTCTACACCCAACATGGGGCTCAAACTCACAACCCTGAGATCAAGAGTTGCATGCTCTACTCGCTGAGCCAGCCAGGCGCCCCTTCTCATTCCTTTCTGAGTACAACTTTGAGGTAAACCCTAATCCCGAATGGAGAAGGTGAGATTCAATCTTTATTTGGGGGTCTTAGTTACATTTGTAGGTCCCAGAGTCCCCTTTTGCCTCAGTATGCCTGACAACCCCTACCCCCCACCCCCCCCCGCCTTTCTCCCCACCCCAGCCCCGGAATCACCAGGTCCCTCCCTGTTTTGTCCTCTCACTGCAGATCTCTTCTATGACCTTCTGCATGCCTTCCTAGGCCCTGCTCATTATCTGACATACCCTGCCCTTTGTGCCGGTTGCTTAATTGGGAGGGGTGACTTGAACAAGAGGTGGGCAATAAAGCCGCAGGATATTTGTACTCTGCCTGTGCGGAGGAGGAGAGCACTCCGCCTCCAGCGAAGCCAGCAATTTTGTGGCTGTTAGCACTTCATTCATATTCTCTAATATGATTTAATGCTTTGTCATTTTCTTTCTTGTGATTCCAGAATCTCATTTTCAGCTTCTGCCAGAGCCAGTAGCAGTTGGGAAAGAAGGCTGTGTTCTTTGAAGAGTGAGTATGGATTTTCAACACTGTTGATTACAAAAAAACCCAAAAAACAAAAAACAAGCAGCCCTCAATGAGCTTGGGGCTCCTCTGTAAGCTTCCCCCAAACCCCTCTCCGGGCCAACTTGTGGTGGGTGATTTCTCTGGTTCAGTTGGTTTGGTGGGGAAGGGTGTGGGCACCTGAAGGTCAGCTACATGCCCCAAAGCCCCCTATGGACAGTTCTCAAAGCCTGTGCCAGGAGAAAGACTCTGAGTTTGAAGGGAGTCTGGAAGATCTGAGCCTCTGGGAAGGAAACAGGATGCTTTCCTGGGGAGTGTGATGCTTGAATTAGCCCAGAGGCGGAGAGGAGTTCATCTAACAGCCAGGACATGGTTGTGCTCCACAGAAAGGAACAGCCTGAGGAGAGACAGAGCGTGAGGCTGTGCAGGGTGGCGTGGGGACAGGAGGTGGTTATTCGGGGTGCAGGCAGAGATGTGGGAGTTGGTCCAGGAAGCTGGGTTGGGATCGTATTGAGTGGTTCGAGTTCACATTCGACCAGGGCAGCCTAATGTATGGGTGGGAGTTGTGAAGGTTCCCCTGGCAACTAGTGTTCGGGCTGAGACAGAATGGGAACAAGAAGAAATGAGGACCTGGACCCAGTGTGGTGGCTGAGGTAGCTGTAGTCTGACTCACACTTGCTGGGAATTTGTCTTCCTTCCCGACATTCCTAGGATGTGTTGGACAGCATCAGCCTCAGGAATTGGTGGCATGAGGCTTTCAGGGGTATAAACCCCCTAAAACTGTGCTCCTCTTCCTGTGTGGCCCTACCATGCACTTAAAATGTGACAGGTGTGACTGAAGCACTGAACTCTGAATTTTATTTAATTACATTTAAATAGTCATGTATTGAACGGCCTCGTTTGTCTAGACTCACACAAGTTGGCTCCAGCGCTGGCGCCTCTCCACTTTTGCATAAGAGGAGTGGGAAGAGTGAAAGATGTATTGGCCTCTGGGAGGCTAGATTGATGGGGAGACTGTCAGCAGAAATGAATGAGAAGGGGGAGAGATGTGTCTGGGACGTGGTAAGACTGTTGAGTCATGCAGGTGGTCAGGCAGGCTTTTAGAAAAGTCTGGAAGGGGGTTCTGGCCAGGCATGTTGAGTTCTGAATTTCCTGAAGGAGGGAATGGTGGAGGATGTAGGGATGGAGAGCTTTCCAAGGAAGACTGTGAGGAGAGCATGATAGGAAGATCAGGAGAGAGAGGAGAGCATCATGGGAATATCGAGGGGGAGAGAGTGAGGAGCGCATGATGGGAATATCGGTGGGGAGAGAGAGGATAGCATCTCAGGATCCAGGTCAGGTGTGCTCGTTTCAACAGCAGGGCTGTCAGGGGCACTTGGCTGGCTCAGTCAGTAGAGTGTGTAACTCTTGATCTCAGGGTCATAGTTCAAGCCCCACACTGAGCATGGGGCTTTAAAAATTTTTTTAATTAATTAATTAAAAATGAAATTAATTAAAAAATTAATCACTAATAGGGCTGTCAGAGCTGCAAAGCACAGAGGAGGAAAGGGCTCAGCCAGACTGAGGTGGGGACAATAAGACAAGGAGGGCATAGAGTTGGGCACCTCGTGGTGGTAATCCTGGGGGCCATGCCACACTTTCAGTGATGACTGAGCAAGCTTAACTGCTTATTTGGAAATTTCAGTGTGATTTTCTTCCATGATGGAGATGATATATATGATAAGAAGTTAGAACTGCTGGGCGCCTGGGTGGCTCAGATGGTTAAGCGTCTGCCTTCGGCTCAGGTCATGATCCCAGGATCCTGGGATCGAGTCCCGCATCGGGCTCTCTGCTCCTTGGGAGCCTGCTTCTCCCTCTGCCTCTCTCTCTCTGTCTCTCATGAATAAATAAATAAAAATCTTAAAAAAAAAAAAAAAAGAAGTTAGAACTGCACATTTCTTGGGGTGCCTGGCTGACTCAGTCAGAAGAGCATTTGACTGTTGATTGTGCGGTCATGAGTTCGAGCCCTACGTTGGGTGTAGAGATTACAAATTAAAAAAAAAAAAAGAACTTACCATTTCTTGAATTATTGTCTCATCAAGTCCTGGGGCTTCCACATACGAGAATCTTACCATCTTTGTATTTTTTCTAGCTGTTAATCGTTAGTGATAGTTTTGAGGGATTGGTTTATCTTGATAAGAACCTAGTTTCAAAAAGCAGTGTTAGGTGGATGCAACAATATTTATAATATTTAAGGGCTTGGATATTATACTCAGATTTTAGGGACTTAGCGTTTTCCTTGTGGAAAACATTGTAGGAACAATTTTCGGCATCCAGTAGTTATTCCATAGATAGAGGTTGTGGCTCTCACATCTTTGGCTGTGGTGGTGGTGGTCCTGGTTATTACCGTTGCTACCATTGTTATAGTAATCATTATTTTGAAGAGACCAGGACTTTAGTCTGTCAGATATGATGGTATATGGGTAAGATATCTAGGGAAAGGCAAGATTCTTTGAAAATGTTTCACATTCTATTTTTTCTTAGAATTTTGCATTATACCCTAAGATGAAGGTATTGGAACTCAGGATTCCCAGTTTTCCAAAATCAGTGAGTACATGGAAGGACCATTGTGACTCATTATGCCTTACTCCCCCACCCAGACTAGGGACTTGGAGATGCCATGTGTATGTGGATCCACTGGTGTATCCTCTATCCAATTAGTCTTCACCCTTGTATTCAGAGACAATGGCCCCAAATGCACAGCTTGGACGCTAACGGGAGGAGGCTGGGTGGCAGGCTCCAATCTGGGATGTGAGAGTGTGTTATTCTCCCTGGTGTCCTAACAGCCAGCTCTCTTCTTCCTAAAGTAGTTTCTCTTCACACTGTGCCACGAGGCCACGGAGATCATTGTCCTTAACCCTGGGATGCCTCGCTTTTACTCAGCAGAGACGTAAAGTGAGTGCATTTTTTCCCCCTCTTTTTCAATCTTTTTCAATAAGTGGGGCAATATACATTGTCAAGCCACAGATATTTGCCTGGTACTGTTTTAGGTTGTGGGAACAGGCAACAAGGAATAAGATTCTCGAGGGGTGCAAACCAGATCCTCCTCTTTAATTGCCTGGTATCATTTCAGAAACATTTTAAGTCTTCAGAGTAGGAAAAGACCAAAGAGGTGATTTGGATGAATGTTCTTATTTAATGGGTTGAGGAAACCAAGCCCTCGCAGCTGGTGTGTGGAAGAGCCTGGTAGGAGAGAACCAGCTGGAATGTTCCACCCCCAGCCCGGTTGGGGCCCAGCCCTCACTCATGTGGATCCACCCCAGGGGCAGCCGTTGGTGTTTCACAATTATGATTGTCGCAAGACCGATACTTAGCCTAGTTCGCATTGTTCTTGAAATTGACTCCTTTTAACTTAATTTTAAAAATTAATTTGCATCCCTACTATAAATTGGAAATCTCTCTCTACTTGCTAGATGGGATGCTGCCCCATTCATGAATGGCTTAATAAAGACAATTAGATCTTCAAAAAAGAAAGGAAGGAAGGAAGAAACTGTAAAAATCAACACAAAGAAACCATGTTATTAAATAGCTAGGGACTGTTGCTCCCGGGAGGCGAAGGCTTAGAGAGGTATCTAATAACACCGTACTGAGAGTTCCGTTGACCGAGGCAGAACGGACAAAGAACCGGAAGCCGACTTCTCAGTATGGTTGTCAGTGTGATGTTACCCGGTTAGTGCTGGGGAGCCCTGAGCATTATTTAGCATCCTCCTGCTCCCTAACGTCATCTTGCAGGGCATTGGCTGTATGGGCCCCGTCCTTTGGCCAACTCCATTTTCCACCCTGTAGTTGATTTTCCATCGTTGGTGGCTCCAGGTTCACAAGGGTTCTGTTTTCCTATCTCCAACCTCTCCTCTGGGTACACAGAGTATCCTATAAACAAACCTCAGCGGGGTAGGAGAGCTGCCTTTTTATTTTTATTTTATTTTTTTGAAAGAGTTTTATTTATTTATTTTATTTTATGTTATTTTATTTTATGTTATTTTATTTTATTTTATTTTATTTTATTTTATTTTATTTTATTTTATTTGACAGAGAGAGACAGCGAGAGGGAACACAAGCAGGGGGAGAGGGAGAAGCAGGCTTCCCGCGGAGCAGGGAGCCCGACGCGGGGCTCGATCCCAGGACCCTGGGATCATGACCTGAGCCGAAGGCAGACGCTCAACGACTGAGCCACCCAGGCGCCCCGAGAGCTGCCTTTTTAAAGGAAAGCTAGGGCAACTCCTTTTTCACATGAAGGATTATGGGACGCCTGGGTGGCTTAGTCGGTTAAGCGTCTGCCTTCGGCTTGGGTCATGATCCCAGGGTCCTGGGATCGAGCCCCGCTTTGGGCTCCCTGCTCAGCGGGTGGTCTGCTTCTCCCTCTACCTGCTGCTTCCCCTGCTTGTGCTGTCTTCTCTCTCTGACCAATAAATAAATAAATAAATAAAATCTTTAAAACGAAATCTTTAAATAAGTAAAATGAAGGATGATGCAGAGGTAGGGATAGTCTCCTACTCCTTATGCATACAGAAAACTCAGGGGGCGCCTGGCTGGCTCACTCAGTAGAGCGTGCACCTCTTGATCTCGAGGTTCTGAGTTTGAGCCCCACGTTGGATGTAGAGATTACTTAAAAATAAAATCTTAAAGAAGACAAAGGAAAACTTTGAAAGCATTAGTTTCTTCATCCATGGCCGGTCTACATTTGACCTGGTCAGGGAAAGTGTGCAGGCTTCTCTGTCATACGTCCCAGCCTTGCTAAATCAATCATGCTGTGCAAAAGCTCCTCATCGAAGACTTCATTCTGCAATGAAACGGAGGGTGGCTCCAGATGACACCTTCCCCCAGACCGATTGGGACATCCATAGCAGGTGTTGACAAAGCCGTTACATCTCTTTTTGATGATCATACCTTCACCTTGGGGCCACCATCTTCAGTGTCAGGGCCTGTGATGTCATGGCCTGTGATGTCCTGGCCTTGGGCATAAAATGCTCTAGTTCCTCGTCCAAAGCAGCATCATGTAATTAACTGCAGCTCAGACATGGGAATTCATGGTAACCCTCAGCAGTTTTTAAGGACTTTGTGTAATGTGGAACAGTCCTCTTGAAGCTGACAGGTCCTATTCTCGTTGACTCTTTTGTGACCTACAGTGTTCAAACAGATTTGTAAAATTCTCTTCACTCCGAAAGTAATTTGCTTACCCCTTGACCCTGAGGCTAGCGATTCCTCCAGGGAGTTTTGTAATTACTGAAAGAAAAAACCCTCTTACAACATCATTGGGAATAGTTGGGGTTGTCCCTAAAACAAAGAAGATTGAGCCCATCTTGTAACTTTGCTTTTTGTCCTTGGTTCCTCTTGGCACTGAGAAAGAATATAGACTATTGGCCCTACCAGCAAGGAGCTTTCTTAAGCCAGCAATGGCTTAAGTGCACCGGAACGTGCTTATGGTGACTGAGATATTGAGAGGACAGTTAAATCAGAAGCACACACAGTGCTTCTGCCCCTGAGAAGACTTTCATTCCTACAGATTCAACACTGTTCCCAGATAGAGTGTGTGTACGTGACTGAAAAGCGCTATCTGACCCACCTATACGTGCATCTGTATCCCCCTGCCCCCTACCAAGGCTGTGAGGGGCTTGTTCACCAACCGCTTTGTAGGGGAGAAAACATGTCAATGCGAGAAACCAATATTGCATTATATGTTAACTAACAAAATTTAAATTTAAAAAATTGTAAATGCAAATGTCCTATCTTCATGGAGAAATCAGGAATGACAATGAGTGTGAGTATTTAACAGCAAAGAGCTTACAAAGATTGAAAAAAGGCTATTTGAAAAAAAATTTAGACAAAGTAGAACTTGATGCAAAGGGAGTGGGTCCAAGCAGAAACCTGTTTCGTAATCACGACTCTTCCAACTGAGTAACCTTGAGCAAGTTACTTAACCTCTTTGTGCCTTAGTTTTCTCAGCCTATGGAACAGCATAAAACACCCACCTTGCCTGTTGGACAGGACTCTGGTGTGCTATACCGAACGTCGATCACTTACAGCCTGCTGGCCAAATTCAGCCTGCAGCCTATTTCTAATAAAGTCTTATTGGAATACGGTCACTCCCATCTATTACATGCTGGGTGTGACTGCTTTCTCAGTACAGTGACAGATCGAGTGGTTGTGACAGACCCTATAGCTCTCCCAGTGCCAAAATATTTATCATCTGGCCCCTGTGTTCAGTCACATCAGTGAGGTCATATCATCAGCATCATGAATTCATTATAAAATTGAAGTATGTATCAGTTGACAGAGATATATGGGAGAGATCTCTTCATTTCACAAGAAATATAAGGAAGGGCAGGATTTGCTGGATATTAATGCATTTTCTTGAAGAAGTCTTTGTTTTGTTTGGTGAAATGTTGGTTTGTTCTTAGGCATCTGGGAATCTTCAGGTTGCAAAGCACCCCCCCCACCCCCCTCACCCCCCGCTGCACAGGTCCTTGCAGGCCTTATTTTCTTGATTAGAGAGGATGATGGGACTTGCAGTATTTCTCATTCCATGAGAAAATGAACCGTGTTGTGAACACCTAAGACAGGACAGAGTGGGGGCTATACTGATTCAACTGAAATCATGACCTGAACCGAAATTAAGAGTCACATTCCCAACCAACTGAGCCACCTAGGCGCCCCTGTCCTCTCTAACTTTTAATTTTTAAAAATTGCAAACTTACAAAAAAGTTGAAAGAATACTTACTACTACCTTGTAACCTTCACCTGGATTCACCAGTGGTTAACGTTAATCATATTTGTTTTAATGTTCTCTCTTCTCCCCTCCTCGCCACATTTTTTTCCTCAATTTTTAAGTGAGCGGCAGAAACAAACATTGAGTAGCAGATATCACTATTCTTCACTCCTTAATGCTTCAGCAGGCATCTCCTAGGAGGAAAGATATCCTCCTACGTACAAATGTAACCACAATTTCATGCCCCCCCCCGCCCCCGCTCAAGAATTGTGTCTCTGATACAGTAATATTATCTCATATCCGGTCCTTACTCAGATTTCCCCATTGGCTTTTTTTTTTTTTTTTTTTTAAGATTTTATTTATTTGACAGAGAGAGACACAGCAAGAGAGGGAACACAAGCAGGGGGAGTGGGAGAGGGAGAGGCAGGCTTCCCACTGATCAGGAAGCCCGATGCGGGGCATGATCCCAGGACCCCAGGATCATGACCTGAGCCGAAGGCAGACGCTTAACGACTGAGCCACCCAGGCGCACCCCTCCATTGGCTTAAACAGTGTCCTTTATAGCTCAAAAAAATTCCAGGATCCTCTCAAGGATTCTTTGTTGTAGTTAGTTGTTGTGCCAATTTAGATTTTTTAAGCACTTGTCAGCCTTTATTCCCTCCTGACCTTTACTCTCATTCTGGGTCCTTCTGTCTCCCACTTTGCTTCTCTGCCTCTTCTCTTGAGACAGAGTTTCAGTATTTACTCTCTTCAGCCCTGCAGGTGTCGGCCAGTCTTAAAGAGCAGGATGGATCTTGACGTGGTTAACATGTTTGTGATCGCGGGCGGCACGTTGGCTATCCCAATCCTGGCATTTGTAGCCTCGTTTCTCCTGTGGCCTTCAGCGCTGATAAAAATCTATTACTGGTAAGTTAATTTTATACTTGAAGTATTCAAGAGCGTCATAACAGCAGTGTCGTCTTCTCTGCTTGTCCTTTTGATGGCGGTTTTTCAACATTTTATTGTGAAATATTTCAAACATACAGAAAAGTTGGAAGACATCCTGTCTTGAGTCTGGGGAGTGTTCTTGAAGAATTGGTGGTCGCTCCTCACTGGGTAAATTTCTTTCTGGTTTCTGATCGCTTCTTTGCCGGGGAGGCCACCCTCACTCCCAGAGTCACTGATTCTGTCTTCAGGCAAGGATTGTGCATGGTTACGGGAGCTCCTTTGGTATTTTCTTGGTTGTTGAATTCTGACTCAGTGATGTCGTGACAGGGGCAGTGATGTGCACTGAAAAATGAACTAGAAAGATCAGGGCCAAGGAGATGGCATGGGTAGGACAGAATGGGTTTTAGATTTGTTCTAAATGTGTTCATTAGTAAAGTGACGGAAAGAAAAAGAAGTTTCCAAAATTGTTATTCTTGTACCATCTTTATGAGTCTTGCTGTAGCTGTAGAACAGCTCTACTTTCCTTTTGTATTTTCTTTAGAGTAAGTCACTCTTTTTACCTTAAATCGATTTAAGAGTGATAATAAATATTACTACCTTAAGCAGAAAATTTGTTTGCCGTACTTGCCATAAATAGTAAATTAATATTAAAAAGTAAAAATGAGCACAATGTCATTCAGCGGTGTTCTTAAATTCTAGCTTACCAAAGACTCTGTGTCTCCTTTCTCTTTGTTACAAAGTCCAGAGAGGTGTGAAAGATGTAGCAGCCCCGAACAGAAATCACCCCTCATGCCCCATGGTGTGTGTCCCCTGGGGAAGGCAATCCCAAAATAGCCCTGGTTCCTCTCTGTGCCCCAGGGAGAAGGGAAGCACGTTGAGATTTAACTGGGACTCTGGCAGTTAGAACCACCTTCTATGCACGGAGGAAAGAACGCAGAGAGGTTGTGTTCAGCTTGTGCCCTTTATCTGCTCTCCTTTCTTGCTCCCTTTTGTTTCATTAGAGTGTGGAATTTTCCGCCTGCCAGCCAGGCTCTGAGCCTTGAAAAGAAGCTAATTGAACAGAAGGGAGCTTTTCATCCTCACTCTCCCGCTCCCTCTTGGAGGGGGGTGGCAGTGGTGACCCTTTCAGAGGGTCACCCAGGACCCACCTCTGAGATTCTGGCTGCGTCCATGTGATTCCCCTGCAGCGCTGGCAGCCAGAGAACTTGGGGACCCAGGCCCCCCTGTGGCCCCTGCCATGGAGAGCCCAGAGTCGTGGGCCCCTTGTGGCTCGGCAGAGGCACCATGGCTCTCCACACATGAATGCCATCTTTCTTAACTCCAGTCAAGGCAGAGAATGCAGTTCGGTGATGGGGCCCATCACCATGGATATGGCTGCAGACAGAGGTGTGATTATATAAAGGCCGATTCCACCCACCACATGCGGAAACCGGCCTCCAGGCTGCATAATCCCTTCCACCCTCAGCCTACTTGGGCTGTCAAGGAGAAGGCTTTCAGGGTCCAGAGTGTCAGAATAATTTTGACATTTGAGCTTTGAAAAGAAAAATAACCTCATAGCAAATAATTCACCTTTTTATTGAGTTAAAATTCACATAACATAAAATTCACCGTTTTAAAGTGCATTAATTCAGTAGTTTTAGTACATTCATGGTGTTGGAGCGCCTTGCTGGCTCAGTCAGAAGAACATGTGACTCTTGATCTCGGGATCGTGAGTTTGAGTCCCAAGTTGGGTGTAGAGATTACTAAAAATGAAAACAATGAATCGTGGATCACTGCACCAAAAACTAATGATGTATTGTATGGTGACTAACATAACATAATAAAATAAAATTTTAAAAAAAGATTACTAAATAAAAAGTAAAAATAAAAACTTAAAAAAAAACCATACAGGGCGCCTGGGTGGCTCAGTCGTTAAATGTCTGCCTTCGGCTCAGGTCATGATCCCGGGGTGCTGGGATCGAGCCCCACACCGGGCTCCCTGCTCTGCGGAGAGCCTGCTTTTCCCTCTCCCACTCCCCCTGCTTGTGTTCCCTCTCTCGCTGTGTCTCTCTCTGTCAAATAAATAAATAAAATCTTTAAAACAAAAACAAAAACAAAAAACGTGTGTACACACACACACACACACACACACAGTGTTGTGCAACCATTACCACTAATTCCAAAACATTTCCATCTTCCCAAAAGGAGCCCCCGCACCTGTTTGTAGTCACTCGCAGTTTCTCTGTCCCTTCATCCCCTGGCAGCTTTAACTACATCTTCTGTCTCTTTGGATTTGCCTATTTTGGCCATTTCATATAAATGAGATCATACAATTTTTGGCATTTAATGTGTGATTTCTTTGACTTAGCATGTTTTCAAGGTGCATCTGCTGTAGCATGTCAGTATTTCATTATTATGGCTGAATTCTAGTCCATTGTGTGGTCATACAACATACTATGTATTTATTTTTTAAAGATTTTATTTATTTATTTGACAGAGAAAGAGAGACAGTGAGAGAGGGGACACAAGCAAGGGGAGTGGGAGAGGGAGAAGCAGGCTTCCCCCTGAGCAGGGAGCCCAATGCGGGGCTCAATCCCAGGACCCTGGGATCATGACCTGAGCCGAAGGCAGACGCTCAACGACTGAGCCACCCAGGCGCCCCCATACTATGTATTTAAAAGGACATTTGTATTGTTTCCACTTTTTGCCTATTGTGAATAATGCCACATAGCAAATAATTCACTTTTATTAACAAATAATACCACTAAAATCCTGTGAGGTCCCACAGAGCAGAGCATTCAGTCCCTTATTTAAATGACAGTATAGGGATGCCTGGGTGGCTCAGTGGATTAAGCATCTGCCTTCGGCTCAGGTCATGATCTCAAGATCCTGGGATCCAGCCCCACGTCAGGCTCCCTCCTCAACGGGGAGTCTGCTTCTCCCTCTTACTCTTCCTCTGTGCACTCTCGCTCAGTCTCCCTCTTATTCTTTATAAATAAATAAATAAAATCTTAAAAACATAAATGACAGTATAGATGCATGTGATCTTAAAGCCTGGCCATGCCTGTCACTCTGCTCAGAGCTGTAGCCAGAGGACAAACACAGTGTTCTTGATTTCATGAACTCAGGCACACAAGCCAAGAAGAAACCCAGCTGGTTGGAGAGAATGTAAATCCTAGAAAACCTTTTGGTTCATGCCAGGTCAAATTGAGGCATGAGGGGTTGTGATTATGGTACTAGAACCCATGATGCCATTGCGGAGGGCTGTCAGAAATCCTGTGATTTCCTCCTCCCCCCGCCCCCTTCGAAAGGCACAGCCTGTTTCCTTCATGTCCCTCACTGCAAGTGACATTTACCCAGTGAGGGTTCTGGGATGAGTCACTTACGTCCCTTAACCACAGCTACTCCTCCAAACACCTTTATTTGCTCAACTACCCGTAATGATCACCATTGGGTTCACTCTGCAGAGCTAGGTGGGGCAGGTTAATTTTCAGGGTTGCTATGTGAACAGCAATAGACAGTAGAGCTAGCTGGGCTGGGCATCGCGAACACCCCAAGCTGCTCACCGCATGCCCAGAAGGGTGTGCTGTAATCATCACAGCAGGCTCTCTCCTGGACATCTCTCTGGGATCTTCTGAGCCTGTTCTGAGGGAAGAAGAACAGGTGTGCCCAGTAGACCAAGGCTCAGTGTCCCTGGAGCATGGCCAGCCTCTCTCCGCAGCAATGTGGACCATGGTTGCCCCTGTAGGAGGCACCAAACGCTTTGCTGTGAGTCAACAGAGAACCACAGTTGGAGGTGCTGGGGCCGCTGTGGGTGACATCAAAGGCAGCTCACAGGATGAAAGAGACTGGGATTTTAAAAAGATTTTTATTTTCCCTGAAGAAACTCAGTTGTGACCTAAAGGTAAGAAATCATAAATATAAGAGAAAAAGATGGACAAGAATTGAAAAAGAAAACTAGCGTTGTTTGCAGATGATTGTGTTCATAGAAAGCCAAAGGAATCTATAGATAATTTTTTGGAATTAATAAGTGACTTAGGCAAGATTGCTAAATACAAGATAAGTAAACAAAAGCACTTATAGTCTTATATGACAGCGACAAAAAATAGAAAACGAAAAAAAATTTAATGATACTATTTACTGCTGTATCAACAAATACAGAATACCTAAGAATAAATCTAAAGAACAGTATGGAAGTCCTCTGGACAGAAAACTATGAAGTATTAGAGAAATTTTGAAAGACCTAAAGTAGTGGAGTTACAGACAATATTGTGAGTTGGAAGACTTTCTTATCACTGCGATGTTAGATTTCCCTAAAATGATATATAGTTCAATGTACACTCATTTAAAATCCCAGCAGGTTTTTTTTTTTTTTAAAGATTTTATTCATTTATTTGAGAGACAGAGAGAGAGAGAGAACTTGCACAAGTAGGAGGGATTGGCAGAGGGAAAGAGAGAAGCAGGCTCCCCGTTGAGCAGGGAGCCCCATGCGGGGCTTAATCCCAGGACCCTGGGATCATGAACTGAGCCAAAGGCAGATGCTTAACCCACTGAGCCACCCAGGCGCCCCCCCCAGCCAGTTTTTTTTAATGGAATCTAATAAACTGCTTTTTAAATTTATAAAGAAAAGCCTGACAGTCTTGAAGAGGAACAATGCGAGACGATTTACATGACCAGCTGTCAAACCTAATTATAAAGCAACAGTAAATCAAGGCAGTATAAAATTGGCATAAGGAAGGGCAAACCAATGGGACAGGAGAGCCCAGGAACGGATGTACATAGATACAGTCCCTTGAATTATGACAACGGTAGCACTGCTTTGCAGCGGGGGAAGGGAGCTGTGTCAGCTAGATAATCCATGTGGGAAAAAGTTCACCATGACCTGTTTGGTAGTCAGAATTACTAAAACACCCCCACAAAGATCTATCTCTCTAATCCCGATAACCTGTGAATATGACAACAAATCACTCCCACAGTCGTTATATTATATACAGTTGACC